ATAAAATTCCTGTTTGCGCCACTGAATACGACTAACTATTATTTTCTGGATAATCGAGTTATAATTGTTTAAATAAATGCTTATGAATTCTCCCATGCATTTTTTTCATTCAAATCAATATATTCACCTGTAACACAAAAATAATAAATTATACATGAAAGAAATGTCATCATTAACTTAGAAGAAACGCATTTACTATTTATAAATACAGATTGTGATAACGTGATTCAAACAATACGTTTTGAAATCATATTTTAGTGCAAGAAAAAATAGTTAAAAAACTACAAAAATGAAGTATTCTAACAACGCAAATGTATTAATAATTTGGTAGCCAAATTAGAGAAAGTAAAAGACACTTCAGAGTCGTATGCCAACTTTAACAATGCACTATATAAACCAATTTTCAGAACTAACAATACAATTCCTTTGATTTACACAAAATTCTGAAAAAAGTAGCTAAGCTGGTACATGGCACGTGAAAGTTGGAACTAAAAATATAAACATACGGCAGACAAATTTATTTATATTGAGAAATAGATGTTTTTTTATGAAACACAAAGCTTACTGACGGCATAATGTGTTGTAATGGAAACATAAATACTTTTCAATGCTTCTCTGCAAGACTTTTATAAAAATATTAGAAATAACCACAAATTTAAATCCCTACAATATTTTTTTTAAAAAAATCAATTTCAAACACACACACAAAGTCATCTCTATGAATACCATATATATTTTTTAAAACGGACCACTGAACAAATTCTGAAAGTTTTCACAGAAAATGATTGTATTTATCTGATTTATATGAAAGAATCCCCTCGGCTTGTAAACGAGTGGGTTCGGGTTCGAATCCCGAGTAAGGCATAGATGTATTTCCTTCAGGAAAAAAAGTCGGACTTTCGCCTGTAATGGAATCCCGTCTCGAATGGAAAGCAGCGCACCCCTTCTGTTATATGCTGAGATCATCCTTTGTAATAAATGTCTATATTCTTCTATTTGTATTGTATGTTTCTGTTCTTCTACTTGTATTTCATATGTATCCCAGGGTAAAAACAAGCGACAACAACAACAAAATATGAAAGAGTCATATTCACAGAATATAAGAGTAAAATTCAGTTCATCGTTGCCATTTCATTTAAATCGCACAAACTCTCAAGTCTTAAATGATACATGATTTCGAAGTATTGCAAAGTATTGAATAAGTAAAAAGATCCATTAATTACCAAATTCATAAATGACTACTATCTATTCTGTATAATGATTGACTTCTAAAATTTGTTTATGATTAGCATATATACGGAGCACATACGACTTAATTCGAAATAATTTCAATCCAGTTAAAACGCATTATCATTGCTACTTAAAATATCAAGACTATTTTAAAATTAAGTAATCAGAAAGTTAAAAACTTTATGCTACATATAAAATGCACACACACACACATATATATATATATATATATATAGGCTAATTCTCTACAAACAAGAGATAACAGCCACAAACAATAACATTCGAAAAACATATATATACATATATATATACACGTATATATCGGAAGTTGATTAAAAATGAATCAGTGCTATTCATAAGAGAAAACTGTAAAATAAATGAAGATTTACAGCTTATGACAATAAATCTAAGACATTTAAAGTAGCTACGGTACTATTCACATAAATATTACCAGAGAAAATTGGTAAACAAAATAAATCTTTAGGGGTTTCTTAATCCTAACTAATTACAACTCTATGGGGATATGGAGGTAACTTACAAAGCAGTTCTGTTCATTTTTAATCTGTCATTTATTAAGAGGAAGATTCGCATTATTTAATTTTCCTCTTGTGACCTTTACACATCCTCTGTATCAGCATAAGGGATGTTAGATATTCAAGTGCTCGAACTTAACATTGAATTGAGTGCAAGGTTACAGTGAAGTAGAATGCCCCTTTTTTTCTGCTTCAAATACGCAGGATCTGTGACCGAAACTGAATCATTAGTTGACTATTAACATCAGTAAGTTTCCTTTAGCTACAATCTTACCATCTTTCTTTTCTTACAGGCAATTGTATTTGAGTATCATTATCTCAGAAGTCCAACAATTTTTTTTTCTTTTTAATAGTAGTAATACTGCATTCCAAAAGTTAAAGGGTATGATTTCTTACTTTAACGACAGGTGAATATACTTTAAGTCATTATCCTAGAACTAAAATGAAAACACTACTGAAAGATCCGTGATGATGTACAGACAGTGACCCTTTATCATAGCTCAAATTAGAAAACAGTAATATATTCAATATTTGACTGGGTTATAGCAAGAAATATTTACCACGTCTCTCACTAGTCTGTTATTTTCTTAACAATTTCAAAATTAAAAAACAGAATGAAATGGCACAAAGTTTTTTCACGTACATCATTCTAAAAAGCTCATATCAATTTTATGGTCTATAAAAGTTTCTTTTTTTAATATTCACTATTAAAAGCAATCATGAATATTGGAGCTATGAAAGTTGTTTTTGAAGGTTATATGTGATGAGAGACACTCTCAAGTTTGCTTAGTTGATGAAAAGTATTTGCTTTCCTTGAAGCTTTCACTATTGTTAACATTTATACTCAGTATATGTATAAGTTTTTATATAGAACCCTTGAACAAAACATACACAGCTTTTAAAGCGAATCTAAGTAAATAAATATTATCAGAGTAAGAATAAGCTACAAGATTCATAATATTAATTTTTTTTAAGAAAAAAGGAAAACAAGATGATTATCGTAATAAAAGGGTGAGTTTTGTATAAAATTAACAAAAATTAAAATATACATAACTAATGTATATAAGACTTATTTCTAAGTACAATGAAATTATGAATATAAACACCCGAAACTTCTAGGGCTTATGACGATATTGCAGAAACGATATTGCTTATGCTATCAAAAATGATGATTAATAAAAAAATTTATTATTCGAAATATATTGGCTTTTTCTATATTACACAGCATTATTTATTTAATTACTTAAATACAATACAATCTATAATATATTTCATGATATAAAGCGTAAATGTGCGTATACACTTTGTGTTATGTTTATAATGTACGCGTATACACACTTTATACCATATACTTCATAAAATATAAAGTGTACTCCTGCAAATATATAACTAAAATGAGTAATTTAAGGTAAAAAATAATATTATAACGTCTGAAATAGGTTGTAAGAATTTTCAACAAATTCAAATAACGATCAATATACAGTTGGTGCCTCACTAACCATCCCCTCCGGAAATGGACTTTTGACCGGATGCCAGTGGATACAAATGCCGGATGCAAATGATATGGGATATAGTAAATATCATATCACAAGGTAAACGAAAAAATTTAAAAATGCAGATATTACAAATTTACAGAATCGTTGTTCATTTCTTCGTCTTAGCACTATCTGTTCGAATTAATTCATATTTTCTTGTGTAAAATATGTTCCACATTTCATCATCAATATTTAACATTACATGCATTTTTAATAATATATGTTAAAACAGAAAACTTTGTAAACAGTGAATGCCTTTACTTTTAAAAACACAAAGTGAACCCCCCAAAAAAGGTACATCTTTGCACCTGTAAATTATACCAATATTTGACAATTGTGTTCTAGTTTAGACTTTTATTTATTCATTTATTTATTTATTTAAATACTGAATAATTCTTTTTATTAGCTTTTAAGTATTCATTCAGTGTAATTATATCAGAAATATCTTAATAAGTAATTGGTAGATTGAATATGGTAACGGAAACCTACGCGTATTGCACTTATTATTAGCTAACTTTCTTATGTACCATTTTATATAAAACTTATTAGGCGCAAAATTGAATAAGGGACAAACGGTAACAGGAAAATTCGTAAATAAGTGCAGCATTTAAATATAATTACAAATAAATATACAAAATTATTCAAAAGTAATGAATAATTTTTTATAGAACATTTTGCTATCTTCTTTCTTTATATCGGTAAAAATAGAGTTAATAATTTCTGAACAAACATATTGTAGTTATTTAAAAAAGTTCTCAAAGTTTGGGA